AAATATATATATATATATATATATATATATATATGTGTGTACATATAATATAAAAACAAGGTTACTGTTCAAAGCTACTGATTAGCATATGTTTCTGATAACAAAATATGTTAACATCGCAACTGTTGACATCGCAATTAAATTCATCTATTATAGATTGAATACCAATATAATATCACTGCTCAGTCCACATACAACCAGAGATCTGATTATTACTATCAAGACGTTCCACTCACAATGCTCATTTCATCTTTACAATTTATTAAATATTATACAAGAACGAATAATGTTCACAAGCATTGTGAACGCCAAATGGAACACATTTCAATATAATCTTAATTGAAATTATGTAAATATTTAAATATTAGATATCATATTAATATTTACCAAGACCGTGAACAATGAATTTACTGTATTTCCTCACGCGACAAATTTATTTAAATTAAGGCAAACATCTCAGTGATCAGATATGTACCTATTTACACAAAACTTTATTTCTTTATATTATTATTATGGTCAGCATTTATAGCGTGGAATTGTGGAGCCACATTCAAAAAGTTTAATATGGAAATTCGACTCAAGAAATCCAAGAATTGAATTAAAAGCAACCGTAAATTGTTTTAAATATTGTGCATTACTGTCGATATTTATGATAGTAGTACAACTTTAATTTTTTTAATTTGTAGACATTCGAATGAATTTGTCAGTAAAAATTGCGGAAAAGCGGCAAATTTCAATTGTCACCATTTTATTTTTCTATTCCCCACTCGAAATTTGCACACGGAAATTTCCACCGGCGAGCTGAGGCGAGTCAATTCGCTAAGCCTGATTTTTATTAATCTCATGTTTTTTTTAATATAATATTATTATAATTTTATTGTGAAGAATTATGAGAAATCTTCAAGAACAATTAAATTATAACATTATAACATAAAAAAAGCATTGAAAAAAGTATTTGAGATTAATATTATAATAAATTTATGTATGTGTCCGGATATCCCATAAATACATGTCTAGTTATTGAGATATTTACCTTAACTTTACCTTAACTTTAAAAAAAATCAAAATCACCTTTGAGTAGAATCTTCCGAAGGAAATTGCAAGCACATGTGAACGATATCAAGGCAAACGCGTCCCACACATAAAATTTT